GTTCCTCTCCGGTGAGGTGCGCCCGCCCGGCCCGGGACGGGAGGGAGCCACAGCCGGGGGCTCCGGGGAGCCCTTCCCTCCTCTGGCGGCTGTTCGTGTTCCCGCTGAATCTAGCTTCAAGCTACGGCGTTGGGGCGGCGAGCTCCGTTGAAATGGCAGAGCCTTCTGCCCGAACGGCAAGGAAAGAGGAAGTCTGCTGTTGAAAGATCTTCATCTGTGCCTTTTTATTGTTATTTACTTAGTGCCAGGAGTGCGTAAGATAAACTCGGAGACATGTATGAAGACAAGATCCTGGCAGGAAGTGATTTTTTCGTTCTGCTGCTTGCTCCTGCTGGATCCTACAAAGCTTCGGCTCGAGTTTTGGCAGAAGGTAAGAGAGCTTGTTAAACAGTTAACTCTGCTGAAATTGTTTGATCCGTTTCCATATTAAGTGTTTCCTGGTACGTTTACAGGGTTTTCGAAAGTGAAAATGCAATCAGTAGTTAGGAACGTATAACAGCTAACCCTTGCTATCTAGCAGAACAGTAATAGTATCCCTTCATTTTCTTGCATGGAACAAAACTTGACAGATTCACTTTTAAATGATTACAGTTTGTATCTATATATAGAGCAGCGTGTATTTTGAGCAGCTGTGTGTACAAAGCTGCCAATGGGAGGAGAGTCTCGTTTTGCGTGTTATTGCCTGAGAACAGGTTTGTACGGAATTAGGCATCAGATGGAGTCTTCAAGCCCTGGCATGTTTGAGACAGATACTATCGATCTGCAGCTATGATGAAACAAGTAGGCAGCTGGAGAAATGTTCTCGGTGGATGACAGAAGACTTAGTCTCTCTTGGAATGGCTTCTGTGTTTGAGAGACTAACGTGAGAAAATACTATATCACCCACAATGCAAAATACCCTCGACTCATTGGCAACTTTGCTAACCAGTGCCTCAACAAGTGAACGATATTTTTTAAAAGTAAAAATAAAATTTAAAACGATTCCTAAGAAAGGAGGAAGAAAGCTCCCAAGGTCTGCCACCAGAGGTCTCGTTACATCGCTATGTTTTCCCTTGGTTGGAAAGACCATTTCCCATAAAGGGCTGGTCTCCAAGCCCTTTAAATTCTGCAGGGGGTACACCACCATTAATCCGAATCCTTTTTTACTCTCAAAAGCATTTCTGCATTGTTAGTGCAGACTGTGTAATAGTACAGTTTAGTTCCTGTGTGCCCTATTCTACCAAAGTTTGTTCTGCTAAGCTAGTTGCTCCCCTGGGATCACAGAAGAGAATTTTTTTCCTTGGGAGGCTCTTGCTTGAGGAGTTAACAGAATAGGAAATCAAGAGTAGCTGAATAGCCACAAACTCCTACCCTCTGAATACAGCTCAAGAAGATGCCCTTTGTTCATCATGCTAGAGTGGAAGATTTACGTCACTGTACTACTCTAAACCTTTCAAGAACTTGAAAAAGCTTATTTTGCCTCATCAGAGACATATTTCAATGTGAATTTGTGAGCTGGTTAATACCTTCTGAAAACCTACAAACCAGAGTCAGTGTTGGATGTGTTTATTTACTTTCTAATTTTCAGTATTCAGAACTGTGATTCAGACATTCTTGAATTCTGTTTTCAAGATTTTTTTCTGCATGAATGAGGGCTAAAACTCCTTTTTTTTCCCTTCCCTCTTTTTTTCTTTTGGATGCTGATATGTGTACGTCCCCATGCTATTTTAAGTGCTGAGCCTTTAGGAAATTCACTAAAGCGTGCGAGGGGGTCAGAGCATCTTGCCTGACAGTGCCTGCTTAAAGCCTTGTTAGAGTTGCAACTTCTAAACTTCTGTTCAGAGCCCCCTTAGCTTCCATAGGGCTAGCAATGCCACCCTTTTTGGGAATGATACCAGGCATGGATCTGTTTGTCCAGGAGCAGGCAGCAGTTTTGAACTCTTCTTAAACACGTACACAGTACGATTTGGGGCACAACTTCTGGTAGCAATTATCATACTTTATTTAAAGGGGAAAATTCTTCAGGAAGAACAGAACACCTCTTGGATTGTTCGAGAATGGTTTTTTCTCGCATGTGTCTTTCGGGTTGTTGTAAAGCACCCGTGTGGGTGGCCCTTGAGGAATGCTGGGGTCTGTTACTGATGTAGCTGCGGTTTCTTGTTGGCCTGCGCTGCTTGTGATGATCCCCTGTGAACTGGAAATGTGAGTCTGGCAGTGAGGCAAAGAACCCCATCCCCTGAGTGCCCGCAGGGGAACAAAAGTGCTGCTGCTTCGCATATTCAGAGCGTCAAAGTGGTGTCAAGAACTGGTAGGTAGCTCAGTGCAGGCTGAATGGTGATCCCGATGAGGATCACTAATTACTCACGAATGTGTGTTCTTCTCCTAGTGGCTAGTTATCTTTCTTGTAGTCCTTGCACGAAGCATGAGTAAAGATTATTTTGGGGCACATAAACTCTGCATATTGAGGTGTTTCTTTAAATTAACTTCTTATGCTAGAGAGCAGCTAATAAAACTCTGCTCCGCTGAACTTTGCTTTCACCTAGATTTGCATGAGTTAAAGTTAAAAACTCACTTGATACTCAATCTTTGTTCCTTGGAAAGGTTGATATTTTTCAAAAGCCCAGTATTTTCTTTACCAGTAGATGGCTAATACTTGTCTTGGAGAGCAAAAACTGCATTTTATTTTTCCCTCATTCCATGTGCTAGCCACTGCATGGATTATCCAGTCTTCCTTAGGGGCAGAAAAAGGTAAGTTCCTGTGATAGTGCTTCCCTGATCTGGATTTGTTTTTAGCTCTGTGCAGTTTCCTAACCAACAGATTGCTTCAAGAGCCCACCGTACTTGAAATGTAAGCCAATCAGGAGCAGGAAAAACTAATGTGAAAGAAAACTGTATTGGAGCAAAATGGAGGAAAACAAGAATTTCTGTCAGCATGTTGCTTAGTTGCCGAAAGGAATCAAAGAAAATAAATGTCCACCCCATGACTACTTCAGCTGTGAGAGCATCAGTACCCTCCCCCACCCCCCAGTAATGCTAAGCATTTAGGGCTGCAGAATTTACAGAAGGGAGAAGAGAGGGAGAAAGCCTTTTCTAGGTCACCTCCATTTTTTTGATGACTTATTGTGTTTAAGTAGGAGGAGAATTGCTTTTTAAATTCACTTTATTACAGCAATTTCTCACCCCCTCCCCCCAAGAGTGTAGACAAGAAAAACGCCTCGTTGTTGTGGGCTCTGAGCCTCTGGGTCTGGGCAATGGGAAATGCCATAAATTTGGAAATCGTTGCTCAGTCTTTGTTCAGTGACGCGTAAAGCTCGTATCTCTTCGGTTTCCTCTTTCATGTTGGATCATGTCTCTCTTTCCACCTAATTCATCTTGTTTCATTATCTGACTTTTTTCCTCTGGTAACAGACGTCATACTATCTTTCCATCTTGTTTACTTTCCATTCTCTTGTGCTTTTCTTGCTTTCCATTTTCTTTTCTTTTTCTTGCATGTTAATGTTTTTGCTGCAGGAAAGATTTATTGCGTGTAGTTCAGTTGTGTTCTGCAAAGGAAAGACTTCAGGGTGGTGGAGGAGGGGAATTAATTGCAAACATTTCGGTGCATAATTTTTCAGCCAAAACAGGATTAGAAACTATTGAGGGATGACAGCCTTCTCTTCCTCGCGCCGACCCAGATGCCAAACCTCAGCAGCTGAAGCTATAGAGCCTGGGAGGCACGCTGCAATCTCTCCAGCAGAATTTGTTGGTTTTGTTTTGTTGTTTTCCTCCCCCAGCCCCTTTGCCCCCCCGGCAGCAGCGCAGCGGACGCGGCGCACCGCGGCCGCT